GTCTGAATTTATTGCGCCCACGACTTGATGTAATTTTCCGTGTAAAAAACGATATGTTTTCCCAAATTTGTTTGATTTAAAATTGGGGGTTGTCTTACATACAGAATGTGTTTTTAATGTGAACTTCGTAATTTTAAGCTAAACAAAACAGTCGTCCTATATACGGGGGCGTCTTATACACGGACAAATACGATATATACAGGAACGAAGAACCAAAACATTATTGTATATTATCATTGTTTATTGAAATCAGGCATAGTATTGTACGCACATATTATCAGAAGGAACTGACTCGAGAACTTGACAAAAACCGGCAAGAATGATGGCTAAAGAGCAAGTGAGAGGCAGGTGAGAGGCAGGGGGACAAACGACTTGGCCATAGAGATGGGTCGAGACAAGAACACCTATGTCTGATACGAGATTCAGCTGACTGTGTAACATGGCGAAAGTAGAAGCCCACGCTCATCGACACGACACATAATGATGATGACGACCATGTTTTCATCACCATGTGCCGCTGTTAAATGGCTGAAGCGTTTATGTTTCTTCACAGATCTTTGTGCTTTTATTTCCTTGATAAATTATACTGACTATTTTTTCTTATCATTCTATTCGTAGTTTCTCAAACGTTATTTTTTTTCGGTCTGCCTCATTCACAGCTTTGTTCATTGTCAACGCCATGTTTATCGTTGCCTCTCATTTTCATCCTAATTGCCTGATGTATATAATCATTACCATGTGCCATGCCGTGAGATTTTATCGACCACCTTCCTCTACAATAATTTCTTCGTACGCTTGACTGGTTGGATGGCTTGCCCTCTTCAGTGGTGCTCCGTGTCTTCCGTGGTGCTCCGTGTCTTCAGTAGTGCTCGATTTCTTTAGTAGTGCTCCGTGTCTTCAGTGGTGCTCCGTGTCTTCAGTGGTGCTCCGTGTCTTCAATGGTGCTCGATTTCTTTAGTAGTGCTCCTTGTCCTCCGTGGTGCTCCGTGTCTTCAGTAGTGCTCTGTGTCTTCAGCTGTGCTCCGTACCTTCAATGATGCTCCGTACCTTCAATGATGCTCCGTGTCTTCAGTGGTTCTCCGTGTCTTCAGTGGTGCTCAGTGTCTTTAGTGGTGCTCCGTGTCTTCCGTGGTGCTCTGTGTCTTCAATGGTGCTCGATTTCTTTAGTAGTGCTCCTTGTCTTCCGTGGTGCTCCGTGTCTTCAGTGGTGCCACGTGTCTTCAGTGGTGCTCCGTGTCTTTAGTGGTACTCCATGTCTTCAGTGGTGCTCCATGTCTTCAGTGGTGCTCCGTGTCTTCAGTGGTACTCCGTGTCTTTAGTGGTACTCCATGTCTTCAGTGGTGCTCCATGTCTTCAGTGGTGCTCCGTGTCTCCAGTGGTGCTCAGTGTCTTTAGTAGTGCTCCGTGTCTTCAGTGGTGCTCCGTGTTTTCTTTGGTGCTCCATATCTTCACTGGTTTTTCATGTCTTCGGTGGTGCTTTATCAATCCTTCCTACGCTTTCCCACTCTGCCCACCTCTATCTCTGTTGCCCTTAATCTTCCTCCAGGATTCTCTAAATACACTCCTGTTGTAATACCATCATAAATTACGTGTATCTTATATTCTCTTAAATATATTATTACAAATATTTGACATCCATTCAGTATATTATTGTTATTATTATTATTATCTCGTACTTAAACAAGGACTACATGCTCGTAAGTGGATCCGAAGGTCGTCAGTTCAAATCCAAAAGGAACTGACCTTTGTTCAGCAATAACCTGGACTCTCAGATCGACCCAGCCGTAAATGGATATAGTCATGGAAAGTAAAGGCGGCCGGCGTGATGCTGACCACAGCAACCACCGAGTGCTGACTGGTCTTTAGAATATAGGTTTAGAATAAAATACCCAACACGCTTGAAGGCGTAAACAAGGGTCTTTTAATTTATTTAACAAAGACTTTTGCATCTTCAGCCCTCTTTCCCCTCTATGTTATCAATAACCATATGATATATTGGCCAGCGGGTCTTGGTCAGACCTGACCATGTCGTCTACAAGTTGCTTCCTTCATTCCACAAACATTCTTCCCCCCTTCCCCCCCCCCCCAACCCCTCTTTTTTTTCCTGGACTGCTACCCCAAGGTTTGACTACACTAAGATGTAAAAAGCTTAGTTTGGATTTGCAAGCCAACGGGTCAGATTACAGATACCCCGTTCAACCTTAGGAGAAGTTGAAATTGTGACATCTGTGGCGGCTACCTATACCAGCCTGGTCGTAACCTGCAGTCCTGTTCTTGTAAAGATCAGTGAAGGTCTTCAGGTTCACCAAGTCGATCTTCTTTGATAGAGTGGGTTGTCTGTCTGAGGGTTTCTTCCATCAACACACAGCTGTTGCCCTTGTGGGCTTGATTAGTTGACTCCGAAATACGCAGGCTGTAACCCATGGACCAGCTCTCATGGATCAGCTCTCATGTATCAGCTCTCTCATGGATCAGCTCTCATAGATCAGCTCTCTCATGGATCAGCTCTCATAGATCAGCTCTCTCATGGATCAGCTCTCATAGATCAGCTCTCATAGATCAGCTCTCATGGATCAGCTCTCATAGATCAGCTCTCTCATGGATCAGCTCTCATAGTTCAGCTCTTATAGATCAGCTTTCATAGATCAGCTCTCATAGATCAGCTCTCATGGATCAGCTCTTATAGATCAGCTCTCTCATGGATCATCTCTCACAGATCAGCTCTCATAGATCAGCTCTCATAGTCAGCTCTCATGGATCAGCTCTCATGGATCAGCTCTCATAGATCAGCTCTCATGGATCATCTCTCACAGATCAGCTCTCATGGATCAGCTCTCATAGTCAGCTCTCATGGATCAGCTCTCACAGATCAGCTCTCTCGTGGATCAGCTCTCATATATCAGCTCTCATAGATCAGCTCTCTTAGATCAGCTCTCATAGATCAGCTTTCATGGACCAGCTCTCACAGATCAGCTCTCATAGATCAGCTCTCTCATGGATTAGCTCTCATAGATCAGCTCTCATAGATCAGCACTCATTGATCAGTTCTCATGGATCAGCTCTCATAGATCAGCTCTCTCATGGATCAGCTCTCATAGATCAGCTCTCATAGATCAGCTCTCATAGATCGCTCTCATAGATCAGCTCTCTCATGGTTCAGCTCTCACAGATCAGCTTTCATTGATCAGTTCTCATAGATCAGCTCTCTCATACCTCTGCTGTCATAGATCAGCTCTCATAGATCAGCTCTCATAGATCAGCTCTCATGGATCAGCTCTCATAGATCAGCTCTCATGGATCAGCTCTCATAGATCAGCTCTCGTGAATCAGCTCTCATGGATCAGCTCTCATAGATCAACTCTCATAGATCAGCTCTCTCATGGATCAGATCTCATAGATCAGCTCTCATGGATCAGCTCTCATAGATCAGCTCTCATGGATCAGCTCTCATGGATCAGCTCTCATAGATCAGCTCTCATAGATCAGCTCTCGTGGATCAGCTCTCGTGGATCAGCTCTCATGGATCAGCTCTCATAGATCAGCTCTCATAGATCAGCTCTCGTGGATCAGCTCTCATAGATCAGCTCTCATAGATCAGCTCTCATAGATCAGCTCTCATAGATCAGCTCTCATAGATCAGCTCTCATAGATCAGCTCTCATAGATCAGGTCTCGTGGATCAACTCTCGTAGATCAGCTCTCATAGATCAGCTCTCATAGATCAGCTCTCGTGGATCAGCTCTTATAGATCAGCTCTCTCATAGATCAGCTATCATGGATCAGCTCTCATAGATCAGCTCTCATGGATCAGCTCTCATAGATCAGCTCTCTCATAGATTAACTCTCATGGATCAGCTCGCATAGATCAGCTCTCATAGATCAGCTCTCATGGATCAGCTTTCATGGATCAGCTCTCGTGGATCAGCTCTAATAGATCAGCTCTCGTGGATCAGCTCTAATAGATCAGCTCTCGTGAATCAGCTCTCTCATAGATCAGCTCTCATGGATCAGCTCTCACTATCACATTTACGTTAAGGGGAAACGAAAAAAGTAAACTGTTTAGAAAAAACAGGAGACAATATAAACCGCTTGGTTTGGGAACAGTCAGTGGAGATACCTTGAGATGAGCTGCTGCATAAGGAGACTGATCATATATGGGAACAGTCAGTAGAAATACCTTGAGATTAAATGCTGAATAAGGTGACTGAGCATGTATTTAAACAGTCAGCAGAAATACCCTCCGATGAGCTACTATATAAGGAGACTGAGCATCTATGGGAATGCCCAACTGGCAGTGATGTAGATTGTGAAAAAGCATATGGTCACAAGCAAAAAAGAATGATGAGATAATGGAAGTATGTGAATATCAGATATGTGATACGAGCTGTTGTCGCCATTTTAAGATACATCGAGGGTGCAGGGGCTGGGGTGGGATCTCAAGTAACGCGGTCAAGCTCTTTGCGTATAACTCTGAATGTCGTAGGGTCATTTCTTGGACTGGATCGCTCAGTTCACATGGCAGTTTTCACGCAGAAAAATTACGGATTGTCTTTACATTCGAATTTCATGCTTTACGTGACGCTGGTGGATCGGCCTTCAATGTACAGAAAGTAAGTAAAGCATCGGGCACAAGGGACAAGCACCCCACATTTGTACAGACCAATCGGCACTAGTTAAGTAAATGTGGTCAGCATTAGGCCGGCCGTCTTTACTTCCCTAGGACAGCCATCCTGATACCCATTTTAAGCTGGGTCGACCTGCGACGCCCCATACCATTCACTGTACAGAGACATAACTGTATGAGATAAAAATTTTCTCAGTGAGACCCGATCCTCTCGATTTTAAAATTTAAAACTTAACATACAATAAGGGACAGCAATATTAGAAGGAATATGGCAACAAGATTGTGTACACATAAAAATTTGACTCCATTTCGTCCACTTATTTTTTAGTGTTCAGACTTAAAAGGGCGGTTAGCATGTTGTGCTGTACTTGGAGCTA